CTGTAATTTTTGTTTCCTAAGGAAGGCTTCAGTGCGTTTTCTGGATCGCACTTTTCCTTCGATTGCCTTCCAGCCAATGGTCAGTGCGCATCGATTAAACCCTAATTTTGGCTCCACGTGACTGGACTCCGCGGCTGGTGTATCTGGAACGTTGTCTGTACATACCAATCTACGATCTCACCAATCAATTGTCACCCACACACACCCCCCTGACTTGTTGCTCTTGACGCAGCGTTGTCAGTTGTGCCAGATCGCGAAGCAAGCCCCGCGTTACTCTTGGGTTTCTTGAGCCAAGCTCTGCGTTACGTGACTTAGTAGACCTGCAGTCGTCTCTACTTCTGTCTTGTTCGACTGACTGAAAAAAAAGTCCTCACTGACTGCCGTACTGTTAGCGATGACTGGCATAGTCGATGGTACTTACTTGCACTTTATTCGATTAAGTCCTGTCGTTGGATGAATCAGCTTCACGGATGTGACAGCGCCCCACTGGTGGCGGTTGTAAGCGATCTCCTCGTAAATGTCAACCCAGTGCTTGTTCCAGTATCGCAAGCCGTATATAGTATTTTTGTTCACGCTAGTATGGTGAAAACGCCATAAAGGCCACGGAAAATAGTTACTGGAGCCTGACACGCAGTCTAAATGAGGACGGGGTTATTCCAAACCTCGATTGTATATAGGGGGAAAATGGTTTCAGAATCCGAGTTAAACCGAATTCAATTCCTCTCTCTCGCGTATCACCGGCACTTTTGAATCAGACAAATTTGGCGCAGTGGCCAACGGCGCACGGCCTCCCTCTAACGCTTACAGGGCCAGCCCAATTGGAGGCCACTTGAAAGAAAACACGTAAGTACAGCATGCCGACGCCCGTTACACCCAAACCAACCACACCATAAGAGCATACGAATTCTGCGTCCCCATGTGAGCATCAACGCCTTAACCACAGCAAGTAAACTCGTATTAGTCATTAATTTTTTTACGAACAGGCCGATCCATTGACTAACAAAAAGATAGGTTTGCGCCTGTCAGCAGAGGCATGGAAGAACTCGGCAAGGCCTGATCACTATGCAAGAACGAGGTCTGTAATTTGCGTCGATCCTTGCAGTCGGGAGGAAGGGGAAAAAGGGTAAAAGTTAAGTTGTTCGCCTACCTTACGGTACCGATGGTATTAGTTTATTTTAGTTTTAAGTTAATTACTTAGTTTACTTTTAG